ACACAATTATAACTATTGATAAGGAGAGCCCCTAAATGTAGGTCTTCTTGTCCCAAAATCAATGATTAATTTGTAGCAATTGACTCAAGTCAAACAACAAAACAACATTCTCTCTTTTTAGTAATTTTAATAAACTGCACTTTTATTATGCTAGGCAACGTGAAAGACATGAAAATCTTTAGTTTTTCACTTCTCATGTGACAAGTTTCATTTCCCTTTACTTTCTACTGGTTTGCCATGTTGTCCTTTATGTATTTTCTACTTATCATGAATCTAGGTACATGAGGATGGGGAGGGAAAGGAAGAGAGATTTGGAGTGCAGCTGTGGGTGGGTCCAAAACCTCCAGGCCTGACTGTAACACTGGACACTGAGGCCCCCCTCTCAATAAAAGAAAGGTAAAGGAGGGAAAACTAGGGAGAGAAGATTGGGACCAAGAGAGGAGAAGACTAGTATTGAGCAGTGTGAAACTGAGCAGCATGGCTTTGCAAGATTCTTAAAATGAAAGGAAAACTTTCTTAAACCAGCTTTTATCAAGTGATATTATTGGATGCAGAAGGCTGTTGAGGGTGAAAAGCATTTTATTGCAGGGTAGGGGGAGGGAAGGGAATCAAATAAATGCCTGAACATGGCTATTTTGATGATCATAATAATTTTGTTCTTATCATAATAAGAATGTGCACATATCAAAATGATGTTTTCATCTTAGACCTTAGAAATTTAGATAGCAGCTTTACCACAAGAATCCCCCTAACACATAATTCTCAATCATCAAATTATACCCAAAATTTCAATCTTTAACTGAAGATTGAAGGGTATTACCAAAACGCATGCTAGCTCAAATTAACTGGGGACATGCACTTCTCAGCCAATTTTAACGAGTAAATTTTGGTTAAAGAATGTACTCTTATTTCCCAAACAGATGCAAGGAAAAAGCAATTCTACAAATCAAACAGGGGATCCAAAAAAAATCCATGAAAAGTGGGTCATACTGTTGTTGGATGCATACAGATAATAATATCAAATGAATGTGTTATTCATACTTCATAGCGATCGTTCCTATTTATTGGCCTAATCCTCTGAGGCACCGCTGCTGCATTGACTGCTCTTTAATCCTTAACTACAGCTACAATACAGCCATCTGAAGCTTTTACATCATGTATCAAGATGGCACATTACGTTGACCCCACAACCAGTAATCATCAGATGGCTTTGAGTGTGTGTCCCCATCAGACACTGTAAATCATCAGTTTCAACCAACAAACTGACCAAACTTGATCACAAGCCATGTGAAAGTTGGAAAATTGAGCGCCATAACAGAATCTCTCTCCTCACATGTTTTGGTCATACACAAGTGAATTCTCTTCTAAATTTTCTTCTTAATCATGCATTCCTAATCCCTAAACAGCTACATTTGTTGGGTCATTAAAAAAAAAAAAAAAAGACTCGTGTCTTAGCACATGTACCTATATTGGACACTTAATCTCGAGTTCACGTAACGCGAGATCAAAATAAACATCTTGTTTAAAATTTGAATCAATTCACTGAACAGTTTGGTAGTCCCATAATTTTGACTGTACTGCCTACGGCAGCATTTCTGTAAAGGAGTAATGGCAACAGGACAAAGTAAACAATAATTGTAAGAGATACGTGAGTGAGATTTTGAATAATAATAATAATGGAAGGAGGAGGGAAAATGTGCATAAGGATATGATTTTGTCCAGCCACATTACAAAAAGGTCCACCAACATCACAACAGCCAGTGCTCGTACTCCACCCATTTCTTTCTCCATGATGAAAGCTTAAGCATAAAAGGAGCAGTACACATTTTTTTTTAACAGCTTACAATTTCAGGGAGGGGGATTTGAACCCGGGTGCACACTTTAACTAGTTGGACTGATAGCCTGACTAATGTATCTATGGTTCTGGATTTCAAGAAGCAACATAGGTAAAAAAAACAATAAGAAATTATAACTTGCAATAATGTAACAGTAGAACTATACAAATGAAGTGAAAAAAAATAATAATAATAATAATTTGAGCTCATAGTAAGTCTTGAAAGCATCTAGTACAAGAAGGATACACCATATTGTTATCTGTTCAACTAATCAATATTATGATACGGCTGATTCAGATCAAGCATCTAGCCGAGGAAATAATGTGAGAAAGAAAACCTAACATTTTGAGATGTTTTATGTTAAATTACTTGTTAACTATACATCGAATTCATGACTCAAATGAGAGAAAAGTTTGAACATCAAATGAATTGTAGGGTAATTTAACCATTGAGGCATTTTAGAAGGCCTGAGCATCAGGACTCCTGATTTAGGACTCAGGAGTGAGTACTTTATGTGAAGATTATATGACACCCTAGAATGTAAAGGCCTATATAGTTGGATTTCAAGGCTCTGAGGAAGGAGATAGATATTGACGCCACTCTTCAGGCGTCCCATTTCTCATCCTCAACATCCTTATTGCTGCCTCTGTTAAGGGTATGGCAAGAATATCATAGTCCTTTGGGGCCTGCAGAATCAAGCAGAGTAGGTCTAGTATCTAAAAATAATGAGAAAAAAAAATAATTAAATCAAACTTAATGCAAATGGAAGCAAAATCTCCAATATCATCTGAGAAAGTCATCACAGTATCTATAAAGCAGAATAAGGCGATGCTGCATACATCTTGATAGTCAACAAAACATTTTTCAGCAATGGTTTTTTGACAAACCAGGCTTCTAGCTTTTCATAATGGAGACAAGGTGGCATACCTTGGGAACCTTTAGCAGTTCCATTTTTGCTTCCTCCAGAGTTTTCTGCCCTTTCTTTGAGTTGCATCTGGCACAAGCAGCAACCTGTCACCAGAATTTCATAACAAAAAACTAGAAGTATAAGTGAATGATCATTGAAACACCCTTTCATAACCTATCACTGTCTTTTGATCAGGTTTCTCATGTTTCCAGCAACTCAACAGACAGGAAGATTAAATTCCTCATTCAAAACAGTCTGGTGAAATAAAAACATGCATGTTGTGTCACTATTCTTAGTAGTTTGTGAATTTCAGAAAACAACACTCTTCTCTCTCATTCTAATATGTTACTTCTTCCTTCCAAGTAGTCTTCATTTTCCATCAAACAACATAAGAAAAAGTAATGCATGAATGCATACAACTAGTAAGCACAAAGCTTACCCAAGAGTACTAATGCAAGAAATCAAGAAATTTCTGAATAATGCTCAGCACTAAGCGGGTGTCAGTTTCCAGTTGAGTGTACAAAAGAGATTACAATACAAGGGCAAGATTGAGGGGTTTCCAAACTGCTCAGTTCGCTGCAAGGTGTATCAAATTGGAATTTTGGGTTTCAGCATGTGATATGTAAATTGCGTTTCTTACTTGTATATGCCTTTGGGCACCACTTGTACCCATTTTCATAAAATTACTTTGCCAATGAAAAAAAATCCAAATAATGCATAATGCATCCAAGCACTAAGCTTCCATAACTCTAATAATGCAAGTAAACCAGAGATTTAAAGTTTTATGTTATTCAATGATTCATCTTACCAGATTTTCCCATTTCCATTCCCCTCCTCTTGCAACTGGCAGAACATGGTCTATAGTCAACTTCTCACGTGAAGAACAATACCTGTTGATGAAGAAAAAGTTCTGGTAACAAACTCGAAACAAGTACCATTTTTATAAACTAATTATTAATTCTTGAACAAGAGATGAAACAAAGATCTAACCAATGAAATTGACATTATGAGTTATCTTGATTCTTGATATTAAATAAAACTGCAGTGTGCTTTTCAATCCCAGCAACATCATTAAAAACAAGCATATAATACTAAAATTGTCCTGTTATTTATGCTTTATGTACCAGAGTGATTTGTGTTAACTTGATGAGGCCACAGGACAATACATGTGTAGTTGCAGACTACTTACTGACAAGTGTAATTGTCCCGATATAGTATATTTTTACGACTAAGAGTGTGTTTGATTCTTCTTCTCTTAACAACCTGCAGTAGATGTGGAACCTGGAAGTGAAAGGATGAGTTCAAGTCAAGTGGACTGCAAAGTGAAGGTCAAGAACATTACCAGGAACAAAAGAGAAAAAGCATTCAATGAATACACACACACAAAACTAAATTAGGTAACGAAAAAACAAACAGTAATGGAATAGCAAGAAGGTCAAGATGTATGAATACTGATAGATTGTCTGCAAGTTGCATACCCTTAACACGGCTGGTATACAGAAGGATCCACTTGGGGAGTTTACAGTCTGATCATAATATTCTAGAACATCAGCCTGGAAAAATATAAGGTGAAGAACTCAAATGCCAAAAAGATCAAATCCCAATACATGTGTTTTCTATAAACGTAAGCATGAGTTTTCCAATTGATAATCCCAACCAAGAGGATCTTGTTTATTTGACATTAGGTATATGCTATGAAAGAAAGAGAAAGCAAAGAAGGGGTAATGCTCAAGGAACAAGTTAGTCATTCTCAAAGGTACTTGGAAGGGAACAAAATTTATTATATGGCCTAGTGATTGATCATCTGCTGCACATGGGTGGTCTCATTAATATTGGAAATTAATGGTTAAGTAAATTTCCTCATATATAAAAAAATAAATAAAATTCTAGTCTAGATTTAATTCATTACTGCAGAGGCTGAAAGCTTAAAAAGCTTCATTTTACTATCATCCAAAATTCTAAGATGAAAAGGGGAACCCCTCAGTCAAACCTTCTCCGTGAACTCTAAACATATAGCACGCTTCCAGCAGACAACATTGATCGGCCTGGGATAAGATAGCAACGATCAGCTCTATATACAAAAACAGGTAAGGAAGCCCTTGCAAAATGCTAGAAATGGTAGAGAAAAAACAGTCACAGCTTAAGAACAACTATGACGACACCATTGCATAGCTAGCAACATATACACCTTGAAAAGATCAGGTTTACATTTTGCTCCAATGATAATTGATAATATGAAAATGTTAAAGTTGAAAAAGGACCAAACTTAATCTTATTATGAGAAAACAGAAGATATTCCACTAGCAATGAAGAATATTCACAAGGAGGTGAGACTAGTCAAATTAAACGATCAAACAATGTTTCTTCCACAACTACCAAGATGAAATTTCTACAATATTTGGTATTTATCTCCATTCTACAAACGTCTCCATCAGATCATGCCAACTAGCAATTGCAACGATCTTCATTTAAAAAATCTAATAATTATCTGAGTTGATGCATTTACAAGAAAATAAATACAATGTTTGTGGCAACATTCACACACATTTGTCTATGGAATGATCACTGGTTATAGTAATGACTAAATTGCCAGAAAAAATATTGCAGTACTAATCCACCAAAGAGTATGCTGGGATAGGATCCTCTCATGTCCCCAGCCACTCCAACCAAATTTCACTTAGAACAAGCTAAAACTGCAAAAGCAAAAAAGTGGAAAACTTCAAGAAGACGACAACCCACCACGTTCTAAACGCAGGGGAACCTGAAACAACAAGATACCAAAAGACAACAATTTGTGGCAGTAGGTAAGAAGAATACCTGTAAGAGATATCCAGAACCAGACCTCTAAAACAAGAAAAATCATCCACATCAAACTCGCAGTCATAGTCGTCTTCTTCTTCATGAATCCCTTCATCACTCACAGTCGGACCCACCTTCACATCGAACTTACCGGATTTGTTGGAAAAAGAAGAGTAAACCCCAGTACTAGCTCCAAGAAACCCGATTCTCCGTTTGTGAACTTGATTTGATCTCAACCCACCACCAAATACGTTCCCAAGAGGCTTATACTGCAGTGAATCTTTTGCTTCAACCCCATTGAAGGGCACCTTCAACCGTCCTTGAGCAGTGAATTGCGCCATTACTTTTTCAAGAATCTTGCTTTAGTCTTTTTCAAGAATCTTGCTTTAGTTTCCAATGGAGTTTTATGGGTATGGGAAATGATCCGATAGATGTTAGAGAGTAGCAGAAAACTTCGATGAAGAGGAAATGTATTCATTTCTTTCTTGCAAGGAAGAAATATAAACAGCCTCGGTTTCCCGGAAGAAAACCGTTGCCACACAAATTCCACATATGCTTCATTCATTGTAATGGGAAATATCTCCTTAGTCCAAAGCTAAATGACAATTTTGACACTCACCATTTTCTTTATATTTGCTACCAGTTGTTTTCATCTGTTTTTTAAATTTTATTTTCTATAATTTTCTTTCCTCTTGACATCTAATTTTACTTGTGGGGGAGAAGAGTTTTCTCCCTTTTTCTGGGTTTTCCATGTCTGTATTTTATATAAACAGAGTCATCTAAAACAGGTCAGAATATACAGTGGTGAGGGAGAGCAGAGGGCCAAAATTGGAATTAAGTACAATTATTGAACTTGTCCAGAGAAAAGGTGTACAAAATAAACCATTCCAAACATTGTTCAGTTCTTCCAGTCTCTGTTCTTTACCCTCTACCAAATAACCTAAATATACAGAGGACATTCCAACCATTTATGAAACCCCACTTTGGAAGGAATTTTGTTTTTGCACCAAGACAGAACTTGCTGAGGAATAGAAGAAACCCAGGCAGCAACCCAAGACTGGTTTCCAGTATTCACAGTTGAATCCAACTACACCAACACCATGACACACAAAAGCATCTGCCAAAAAAAAAAAAGAAGGATTTTTCAGTTGCAAAATTGAAGAACAAATTCTGAAAGTCATTATATTTAGAGAAGATTAGAAAAGGAGGGGAGTAAAGCAGCTATAGCTCCTTACCATTGCTGGACCTTCCTGAACTCAGTAAGCACGGGGTAGATATTCTCAAAGGCTGTGTATGTCTCATCTCTCACCTAATTTAGATACATACACAATGATATATGTAAAAAAATTCCTGCTAAAACAATAAATAGAACAAGACCATGAGAAACAAATAATCACCTTGGCTCCGGTAATCACGATCTTCCCAGAAACAAAAATAAGGAGTACAATCTTGGGCTGTTTCATGCGATAGATCAGACCTGGGAAGAGTTCAGGCTCATACTGTAACAAGATAACACATAAATAAGTCCTCAATCTTGAAAACAAAAACCAGTAAAAATAAACAATCTAGGAAGATTCTTGCATTTTTTTCAAGCCTGTTTCCTAACCAAAAAGTAATTCAATCCCTAGCTTTACTCTATTTTAACATATCAAAGTAGTTCCCTCGGTTAGAATTCAAACCAACCCCTAAGCTAAGTATTTGACAGACAAAAAACACAAAGAAATTTGAGGACCAAGTCACTCCATGCATGCTTATTCATTCAACAATTTAAGAACTGTTTACACAACAGTGAATTATTTGTAATAAATTGTTATGCCATTGTCACTCACACTTGAAAAGGCACCATGAGAGTAGGCAAGACCTTCGAGTCTGATTGGGAATTTAACATCACAAGAGCCAACAATGTTCTGGATCTTGAAATCCTGCCATAACAACAAGTATAACAATCTTAAAAAATGAGACACCTAAAAAGAGGAATAAATGTTTGATAGCATAAGCAATTATGCATGTTTTGGAATTAAAGGACAGCGAGTACCTTAAACTTGGCAGGAAAACCAAGCTTTTGAATAATTCTAGCATACTGCCAAAAAAAAAACAATCAGGTCAGATTAAACCAATATGAAACTGTCACCACTTAACCTAATTATAAAACATATCAATTAAAACTTAGGCAAAGCTACTCACCTCTAACACAAATTTAGGAATTTAAGGAACAAGATTCAAAAAGGTCAAAATATATATTACCTTTCTTGCAGCCAGTTTTGACTGTGTTTCACTTTTGGCACCCGTACACACCTGAAAAAGAAGATACAATAGTTCTTTAGTAAATCAACAACTTGACAATCATCACATACTAAACAAAAGATAATCTTGACATGCAAAAGATTTATGATTGTGGATAGAATAAAGCAATATTACTTGCCAGAGAACTTGAACAGAAACAACAATGCAAATGAAATGACACAAAAAACATACTTACCATCTTTCCAGATGCAAAAATCAAAGCGGTAGTTTTAGGCTCTCTTATCCTCATAATGACAGCAGCAAAACGCTGTACAACAGTACAAGAATATTATAGAAAAGAAGTTTAGCAATCAATTACCAACAGTGAAAGAAGCCACCAGACATAACACACAAACTTAAAATATAACAAATACAATATAGCAAGGCATTACTTACCTTAGGGTTGTATTCGGCATTACGAGCTTGAAGTGCAATTTGCTTGAGATCCAACTTGCAGTCCAAATTAACAGTTGATACTATGTTTCTAGAAACAATACAGAATCAAATTATGCTAAGACTTCTAGAAACAAACTACCGCAAATCCAATTACAAGAGAAGTAAATAAGATTCACCATAATAGGCATTACTTAAAGAGAACCAAAAACACAACCCAAATATTTTACCAGACCCAACAACATCTTCATCACAACAGACATCAAAAGAAAACACAAAACAATCCATTAAATAGCCAGATGCAAGAAAGCAAGTAACAATTATGGCACAAAAAGTCAAGAAAGAGACATTTAAAATGTGATTTCAACTCCTTCTTAGCTAAATCAAATAAGGCACCATCTCCAGGTTGACCAACTTCCAACTAAATTCCATTAAATGTAATTCAGGTGACAAAACCTATATTTTGTCTGGTCAGTTATGTTCTTGTCAAATGCAGAGAAAGTTCTGTAATAAGTTCCAACAAAGAATTTTTGCAAACTAACGTAGTTCTCAAAAATGAGAAGCACTATAATTGTATTCCCACTGAAAGCAGTTAAGAAATCATAAGCCAAACTCCAGCCTTTATCCAAAAGCAACGAGCTACATGCATATGATATAGAATATCTGACTTTTATTTTATTTTTACAACTTTGAATTCTACTTTCTACAGTTATTGTCATTCTCTTTAACAACGATCAATTATTTACAGTCTGCAATAGAACTATACATACAAGATCCAGTTCCTCATTCCTCTATTCCTCTATTTAAGACCCATGTCCACAAAACCCATCACCCAACACCAACCGTTCATATAACAAAACTAAGATTCACCAGCCCCAAAACTCATTCCTCACTAATCATGAACCTAAAACCAACCCTTGAAAATTAAAATTACATAAGAACCAGGACGCTCAAAGCATATACTTCAAATCTACCCCCCAATAACCAATTCAAACACAAGATCCAAACAGGTATCTGCCCAGAGTCAGTCTTTACTTCTGTACCGAATCTTGACCACGTAAAAAACATATATATACTTGTTTTAATCAAATCCAAAGGCGATTTAACAGAGAACGATTAAATTCGAGACTTACTGAAGAGTGGGAACAATGCCAGACGGGTGCTTGGAAAGATCCACGGGCTGACTACTTTCCAAGCCACCTTGCTCTGCCATTCTCTTTGTTCCTCACTTTCCAAATACGCAAAAAATCTAACAAATTTAGCGAAGAAAATTTATGGGTTTCTCTTCTGTAACAAAATCAAGATAACCCAGATGAATTTTAACCTAGATCTGACAAAATCAAGCACACCCAGAACCAAAACCTAGGGTTTCAAAAAGATAACGAGAATTCAACGCAATTTAGAAGGAAAGTTAACCAAGAAATTGGGTAAAAAGAGAAAATTTTTGAAAACAAGAGTCTTTTATAGGTTTTATGGATGTAAATAAGAGAGATCGTTGAGGATTGAGAATTTGAGGAGTGAGGGATTGGGTCTGAATAAGAGGGGTGCGGTGCGGAGACGAAGAGAGAGAAAAGCGGTTGTTCCACGGGACTGGCTTTTGTATCCCAGGTAGGGATATTTATAGGCGTTGACCGGAAAAGCAGGTGGATTACCGGTTGTGCCGGTTTTTCCAGATGTGCCCCTGGATTTACGGAAGAATCTAGAAGGGTAAATGTGGAAGTTCAGTATGAACAGCTCAAGCATATCTGTGTCTCCCTTTTTATTGTTTTTGGTTAAACCCAAGGTCCCTCAACTTTAGTATCAACCTCTGATTTAGTTCCTAAACTCTTTAAAAACCTTTTCTCGGTCTTTAAAGTTTTAAATTCTGACCTTTTTTGTCCATTCATTAAATTTTCACATCACTCATCAGGAGAAGCATGACATGGCAAAAAAAAGAAAAAGGAAAAAAAAGGATGACACAGACAAAATCATGGATCCACATTAACATTTATACAAACATAAGGGTTTTAACTTTAACCAAGCAAAAATTTTAAAAATAAAAGTTCTAAATCAAAGATTGATCAAATCCCATATCCAACTAAATCTCTAAATCAAAATACTAAACCCCCTAATTACTCCTAGTTACTCCTTTTAGGCAGCTATTCTTTCATGGATTAACATTTATGCAAGCATAGGGGTTCTAACTTTAAAAATAAAAAAAAAAAGTTCTCAATTTTTTATGTCTTAATTAACGAGCAATGTTAGCAAAAATTTAACAAAGGTACCAACAAGAGTCAGATGATAAAACTTTATGGATCAAAACAACAATTTTATTAAGTTTAGAACCAAATCAAGTGCCTATACCAAAATGAGGGACCAAATTTTGTGACTTAACCATTTTTTATTTTATCTTTGTTACTTATTTCTTAAAAATTACTTGCATTGCATTTACATTTTCAAAAAAGTATCATATAACGAAATTGTAAAACTTATGTTAGTAGAAGGGTTGGTTGCCATTTACTATTTTATAAAACAAAGATTTTTTACATTTTCTAACCAAAATATTATTGGATTTATTCTTCTTTCTAGTCACAGAAAAAAGGGTTAAAGTTAATTAAAGTCCCTATACTTTGAAAAAAGCTTGCTATCATCTGTGCTCATTGTTTATGTTCATTACAATCCTTCTACTTCTTTGTTGTCCATTAACATTCTTCTCCTCCACGTTTTAAGTTCCATTTTGTCCTTAAACTAATTATGTTAATATCACATCATCAAACACCGCTAATTTGACTATTGAATATAACAATTTTTGTTTTCAAATACTCCTCACTATACAATTTAGTATCTTGATCTATTTTACTTAATGATAAGAATTTAAATTCATAACAGAATAAGTTCAAAAGAAGAAACAACATGATCTCTCTTTCATTGAAAAAAATTATATAAATGATAAGATTAAATAGTTATTGACAAAATCATAGAAGTAGTATAATGCCAAAAATAAGTCAAAAAAAAAAAAAAGTTTTCATAAGACAAAAGAAAATAATAACCATTCAACAAATTAACCTCGAGCGATGCCACAAAACTCAATACTATGATGCATAAGACAAAATTCATAAATAAAATAGAATAGATACAAATATTTATATTTAATTTAATTATTTTAACCATAATCGGTTTAGTTTGATCAATCTAAAGTTAAAAGAAAAAGGAAAAATGCAAAGGCAATTATATTAGTCAATAATAAAAACAATTGTATTGGCTTTGATTTTTTATGAGTCAAATTAATCCAATTTGAAGTTGGTTTAGATTAATTAGTTTTCAAATTGTTTGGTTTAGTTTACGTTGGATTAATAAATCTGGATCCAATATGAACACCCTTATCCAAAATGAGTTATGAACCTAAGATGCTTTAACCGAAAAAAAAAAAGGTTAAATGTTAAATTTGATCCCTCAACTTTAATGAGTTACACATTTTTGGTCCCTTAATAATTTTTTACACTTTTTTGATCCCTTAACTATACGAAATACACTCCGTTAGTCCTTCTGTTAATTCGGGCCGTTAACTCGCTCATGTGGTATTTTTTATAGTTTTTTTTATGATGTGGCAAAAATAATTTTACAAAACGTTGATTTGGAATTTTTTTTTAAACCACGTTAGTGCCAACTCACCACCAACTCATCAACCAATTTTGCCTTAATAAAAAAATAGAAAATTATAAATTTACCCATCTCCCTTTTTTTATCCATCTTCTTCCCCTCTTTCGATCATCTTCTTCCTTTTTTCTTTTTCTTTTTCTTTCTT